GTAAATTATAGAGATGAATACCTCTCAGAGAAGTGAGATTATATAAAAAAAAGCTATCATTTCATCTAAAAGAAACTCCGTACCCCTTTTGAAGGAGGGGATTTAGCACAAGACAAGTCCACTCTCATATTTGGTAGTAAAATCTATACCAAAAGTATTTTATTATTTTGAATCATGCAATATGTAAGTATTGATGTACCACATTTAAGTGTATTTGCTATGAATAAATGTGTTGTTATAACCTTTTTAAGGTCTCTATTTCTCTAACGTTTACATAGGACATGCTTTTGAAACTATTTATTTCGTTCTTTCTTTCAGGTCAGGACGAAAAAGATGCGAAGCCTCTCCCTCGCATTAACAGACATTCCGTTTTCTGGATCGTGGCATCTGTAGCTGTTACCTACTATGTGGATTTCTTCAACAACATCATAGAGAACGATGATATCAAAAGGTGATTTAATCACACACACACACACACACACACACACACACACACACACACACACACACACACACACACACACACACGTTGCAGCTGTTGTTTGTTTTTTCTCTATTACAACCATTATAAGGCAAGTTGTGTTGAGTATGGTAAAGCAGGAAACAAATTGAAGTATTACACCGTTGCTCTGGGTATATTTCCTTTGAATGACCTATAAACACAGTATTTGTTGGAAAGCATTGATTTCACGAAAGGTTGTCGCTCACGTAAAAGTAACATATTATCACTGGTATATGATACCAACGAAGCAGCTTGTGGTGTTAACTATATTTTATGTTTGAGAAGCTTTAATAAGTCCCTATAGATTGCCTTATACTTTATTTATTTTTAATTCCTATTATCCAGTTGGTGGTTCAATGCGGGTCTGGGCCTCCTCGGGACCTGCCTGTCTCTGGCCATGTTCTGCATCATGTACCTGGAGTGTTACAAAGGCATCAATCACTACGAACAAGTGTACCCTGCCATTCCTCCCGTCACCACCGCAGCCTTCATTGCTGCATCTTGCAGGTAAAACGGCAAAAACACATTTGACTATAGGATATTTTTTCAGTGAAAGTAAAAATATTTATTTTCTCCAACTGTGAAAGGTTTTTAAGGATATCGCACACAATGAACCTCTCCTATCTAAACATGCAATTTCAAACTCTTGAAGCTTATGGGGAGGGGTACAAAAATATTTGGTTCGACAACATTTGTGGATTTATAAGATTATCTACATCAGGGGTATCAAACCTCAATTTCATCTCGGGCCACATCAGCATTATGGTTGCACTCAAAGGGCCAGTTTTATATATAAGACTATATAAATATACATATATAATATTTAATATATATAAAATAATGTATTATATTGCATGATTGCCTCTGCATTGGATTATTATCAGATAGGGTAATAACTTCATCATTAACTATGTCTCAAAGCAGAAGTCTAGGGCAAATAATTGCAAGTCTCTTCAGTGAGAATGCCACAAAATGATGAAAATCAAAGCCAAATTCTGGAGGAAAAAAGTCAAAAGAAATGAAAATTTGAAAAAAATTCGTTACATTTCAAAATAAAGTAACATTTTGAGAAAAAAAAGTCACATTTGAGATGCATTGTGGGACATGTAGTTTATGGGCAACGTGCTTCTGTAAAGCGGCATGTAACCGTATAATAAACATATTATATTCTTTGAAAGCTCTTGTGGGGCCACATGAAGTGAAGTCACGGGCCGGATTTGGCCCCCGGGCCTTGAGTTTGACACCCCTGCCCTACATGCACGTTGAATACTCACATGTGTTTCATTTCTGCTTTATAAGGCACAACACAGTGTACTTAATTTAGACCTTAGGACTGTGTGGATGTGTACAGGAAGGGCTTATCTTTGTTTCCCTAATTTTGGATCTCTCGTTCACTGAAACGTCACTTTTGAAAAACATATATTTGACTTACAGCGTGTGAAAATCTGTATCACCTTGCACTGGGTTTAATGAAAAAATAGGTTCTAACTAAACCCCCATAGATCAGTTTGTATATTTGTATTGAAATTAATTTATCCAGCTCGTTTTTCTTGATAGGATTTAATATAGTATATTTAAATGGTTGAAAAAAACCATAATATGTACAGCGATAGCTTTTGTTATTAATCATATTTATCACAAATAAAAAACGGGTAATAGCCATGACTATAAAGAGCTTAAGGGAAAACATGTGAACTGAAATTGCTCTCTTAGTTTACACATTAACATGTTATGTCTGGTTAATGCTGTTTTTTCTTATCTGACTTTTTCAACTCTTCTTCACAGTTCCTTTAAATGCTTGGCCACTTAGCCTTCATTGTCCTGTGATTGGGTGATCCACATTGTTTAAAATGTTAAGAAATGTTCACATGAATCTGTGTCATTGGAGAGTGGGAAGCTTTCAAATGCAAAACGTGTTCATTTGGATGCTGCCTTAGAAAGAGAGACATGTGTGGACTTGTCTTGAGTAATTGAATATTCAAAAAGACATCACCGGCATTTTATAGCCTCCCATTCTTCCTCTGCAGAGCATGTGACAACAGCACAGTGTAGAAACACCTAAGATTATAAGTGTGCATGTTGTAAATGTTATTTACTTTGTCTTGCAGCCTAAACATTGCCCTGTGGCCGGTGTGGTCCTTCCTCACTCCGCTCATCCTCTTCACACAGTTCATGGGTGTGGTCATGTTCATCTCTATGCTTGGGTGAAGACGATACTTTCCTTTCTTTTTCTACAAAAAGCTCTTTCATTTTAATTTGCACAAAATGTATATATTTGTATGAATAACATTGTGTTTGGCCTTAAATTGGACATCGACATATGGTTCCTGTGTTGTTAAACTTTAAATATGCTTTGTACTAGTTTTCTTCGTATGGGTTTTCTCCCTTACATACACACATTTCTTAAACAATGCTTAGCCGCATCAACACGCACTGGTGCCTATAACATTTAAAAATCTTAGACACTCCAACACTAACAGAAATGGTCCCATTGTCTCCCCTCTGTCCCTCACACCTCCCGGTCTTACACCTGCAGCAGATTGATGTCGAGCGTCCTGAAACCACACAGCTGTTGTCAGTGTGTATTGATGCTTTAGGCCGGGGCAGGTCAGCACTGTGGTGTGTGTGTGACCTGAGAGTGTACCCATCTCACTTTATGATTTGTCACTGCTATGTTTTACTGAAGAAAAGAATGTGTGGAGATGTGTTGCATTGTGTAGAGTGTTTGGCAAACAGCACTAGTGTGACGAGTGATTCGAGAATAGCCTTTTTCACAGCAGACATTTGGCGCAGTAGGAAAAGGTGTTCATTTATTCTATTTAAATACACCTGTGCTAATCCTAACATGACAAGTTAAAATATTGTGCAAATGACCTTGTGTATTTATATATGTGTGTGTGTGAGAAAGTATTGTTACTGTTAATGAAACTAACAAAGATTTTAAATTATTTTTCACTTTTCGTTCTGGAGAATTCCAAGACTTCTCATATTGTGCAAAAATGTTCTTTCTTTAATAAACATTTATAACTGTTCACTACTTTCTGAAACTGTTTGCAAGAACCTTGAACAAATACATAACGTAAAATAATAATGCTAACTTGCACTTTTGGCATTGTCAGAGGGATGTTGATCGAGGTCTGTGTTGACTTTACTGGAAGTACTCACTTAAAGTTGTGTTTAATTTGTTATCCACTCTCATTTACACACATAGCAAAAGCGCCTCTCAATACAACGCGATACAAAACAACAATAGTCACCAGAGCTGTGGGTTTTGGAAAGGTCTTGCTAAAATAACAAAAGACCTGCTCAATATTTCACCATTATAAGATGAACTTTGGAGGCCCCATTGAATGGATTTTAAAGGCCAGTTTAAAACAATGTTGATTTGATTTTCAGGTAAAAAAGAAAAGAAAGGAATATGTTTAAAATAATAAGACATTTGGGAGGTTACGCTTCTTACTTTCAGTTTAACTTTATTATCCAGTGGGTCCAGGATGGGGTGGATACGGTATTCAGACATTTACTTATAATGATACTAGCGTGAACATATTAACTGCATTTAAGATTTTACTCAAGCAATAGTACAGAATTATTAAGTTTCAGACGTAATTGTGCAAAGTGTCTCGTTTCAGGCTATTTATTGTTTATAGAGTCTTTAGCATTTTTTATAAAATACAAATAAATCATATGCACACTGGAAAATATACAGCATTAGAAAAAGAAGCATATATATTATGTATATGTTATACATACAGATATTCATGATCAAACAATATTCTATTATAATAAATAGATGAAAAACAGAGCTCCCAATACCTAGAATTGTAATGTTTCAGGGCAAACTATTTAAACATTTTGCATATTAGGATGTTCATTATATCTCATCACTATTGAAAGTACTAGTACCTGAAATTGATCTAAATCTTTTTTTTAAAGATGACAATTCATCTTATCCAGTGATATTGCTTTGACCTGAAATGTTGTTTTAGGTGTTGATGAGAAGCAAACAAAAGAGAACTAATTTGAACACTTCCAGATTAAATCAAAACATGTTTAGACTTTAGCAGGCAGCCCATTAATTAAATTAAAGCTCCCTGATAATTAATGGATCTCACTCTTCCTCAGTGATCAACAAGTCGATATCAGTGCTTCACAGGGAACGCCTCTGTCCGCGTGATGGTGGAGGCTCCACGCGATAGGTGATTGGGCCTGATTCGGTTTATAGGGGCATAACGTTTCCTGAGCATGACAAATGTAAACAATGACTTTACCTGACATTTAGCTGACGCTTTTATCTAAAGCGACTTACAATATATTGATATCTGAATCAGGGCTGCTGTTGTTTACATGAAAGTTAATCGAATTCCTAATTTTTTGGTACTAATTAACCACCAACTATCAATGGGAGACCCTCACCTATATTTCATCCACGTTTTATATTAAGTCTTATGGCTGACTGTCCCGAGGGACTGAGGCAACGTAAAGACTCCTAAAGCAGAAACGGAGCTATTGCTAATTGTATTTCACTTTTTAAGATGACCCTTTACAATGAAAGAAAAGTAACACTTTTTGAGTTAATGATTAAAAGGCCCTGATGAACACTCCCATCCCCTCCTAAATTCAACACCAATCACCTCTCAATCTATGTGAGCAGTCGTTCCATTGTTATTCTGATTGCGCGCATCCGCTGTTTATCACCAACCAGAGGTTACCTGGTCATATCCATAACAAGGCCTGTGTGCTCCTTCTTTACATCCACTCACAAAAAGCCATTGTGAATTTGACCACTGAAATCCGATTCTTTTCTTTTTTCCTCAACTTGAGGGTAAAGTTTTGAACACATCTCAGCCACATGGACATAAGGATTTGAGGAGGTGGCACTTGGATTTGCGGCGCTGTCAGGGCAGGTCACTTTCCTCCAGCTTGTAAAAATCGCAGGTTTGTGAAATGCCATCTCCCGTTTTATCTCACCAAGGCCTGTACGCTTAACAACCCGATAGCCACCCTGAGAGGATTTCAGCAGACTTGGAAAGACTGTCTGGCGGCTGCTCCGGAGACGTGGATTTGGGCGGTTTTTTCTGTTATTGTGGATAATTCCTTGCTTAGTGTTTTTTTTTAAATATTCTGTATGCAGTGAATGGCTGGCACAGCAGGCCTAGTGATTTCTCTGAAACATATGGGAGTTTCATGAGTACGGGGGTCTGGGATCACCAAAGACTGAAACGCAATCTACCATTTTCAGTGACTCAGCGCGCCTGGTACGCGACCAGATATTTTCAGTTTCAGGTTTAAAGATGACAAAGGCATCTATCAAGTCCATCCTCAGCGAGGCTGGACATTGAAACTATGCGTGACCACTGAGCCGGACCCTTGAAGATTGAATGGGCATGTTTGGCACGGTACCTATTTGTCTGAATCCCCACCTTGTAGCAACAGGTTAGACACCTGGCCTCCCCCAAATGCTCTTATAGCGCTAGGCTTTGACTTTACTCCTCTCTCCGATATTTTCCCTCATGCCTCCCATCATGGTGGAGCACAACGGCCTGGACATGTGCCTTAACAAGTACTGTCACAGTTTCCTCCTCGTCGTCCAGCTCCGAGCAAGACAAGAAGATGTTCAGCAAACTAAAACTCAGTTTGTCAGGGGATTACCCGAGAAGAACGCAGAGATCCTCAGCGGCCAGTACGGGACCAACCTGCTGCTGATCGGGGCTGGCATTGATGCTGGCCATCTCGCACCATGGCCCCTCTGTCAAGGAAGAGCACCTGCTGTCCTTTGTCACATGCCTCATGATCCTCCAGCTGATCTGGATGATGTGGTACATCCTGGTGCGGGAGAGACAGAAAAACACGCGGACAGAGAAAGATGTCCACGCCACTACATGCTGGATAAGAGGTGAGTTTGTTTACAGCAGTAAATTCAAAAATAAATCTAATTGATTTTAATGTTGTCTGTGTGTCTAGAGATTAAATGAGATCACACATCCACATAATGCAATATAAAATGGTTTGTGATTGACTGAACAATGTTTTGCTATACAACCAGAGTGACAGTTTTAAATTGATCTTTATTTCTCTGTAGGTGGTTTGACTCTCCTTGCACTCCTTTCACTGATCATGGACGCTTTCCGAATCGGGTATTATGTTGGCTATCGGTCTTGTGTGTCTGCTGTGCTTGGGGTATATCCTGTCATCCATGCAACTCACACCATTGCACAGGTAAGTTTCTAAACCCATTTTCATTTCAATACACAATAATCTTTCAGCAGTGTTACACACTGTCTTTTTTGCTGTGCACCACTTTACCAGGTAGGTCTTTGAATAATGTGGTCTTTGTTGTTGAGGCGAGCTCAGAGTTGCTGCAACAATATAATCCTGTCATTGTCCATGTTATTTGAGTGTTACTGACCAGGGAAATCCTTCTGGTGAGGGGATTTAAATTATACTCAAGTGGTTTTTGCTGTCGATACAAATGTGTCTTTTTAACTGTTGTGTCTTGTTGCAATTTGTTTAGGTGCATTTTCTCTGGTTTCACATCAAGGATGTCATCAAGAGCTTTGAAACATTTGAGAGGTATGTGAAAAGTCTATCACAATCATGAGAAATATCATCTTCAACTAAAGAATGAGTAAAATGATGAATCTGCATGCATCCAGATCACAACAACTTGTATCATCATCCTAACACTGCCCCATGCTATCAAATGAACGCCCATAAACCTTGTTTCTCTCCAGATTTGGTGTAATCCATGCAGTCTTTACAAACCTCCTCCTGTGGTGCAACGGCGTCATGTCAGAAGCCGAGCACTTCCTGAACAACCATATGAGAAGACTCTCGGCGCTGGGCTACGGAAACCTCACTATAGGTAAGGGCCAAGGGGTTGATTGCTGGCTTGTACCTGGAAGACAAGTACAATAGTCCACTTGAGAGCTCACTTCAATGGATGAAAGAAATGAGGGAAGGAGAGGAGGGTTTGCGAGGGGAAGGGAGGTTAGCTCTCTAGCCCAGTGGGTCTTGTTTGTGTCTAACGTCTCTCTATTAGGTTTCAGGAGACACACAGTGTTGCTAGTGCTAGTTCACCACCACCCTCCTTGGCAACCCCCCCGCTTGACCTCAGACGGCTTTGTCCCCAGGCTACTTACTCCCATGGGTGCTGCAATTACAGTAACTGATACATCTAAGCCCAGGGTTGGGGGGTTCGGCTGCTCCTCCTCATATCCGGCTGACTGTGAGGCTGGCTGCACCCTGACTGTTGTTTCATTTTTAATTAAAGACTGCAGTACCATAGTGGTGGCCTTCGGGAGGGGATAAGGGGGGGGCACACGGCAGGGTTTTGTTGAGATGATCTCTAGAGGGCATCAGCATTACCATAGTGTGGCAGGCTTGACAAGGAGGAAGTATAAGAAGTGCATTGTCATCACCATCTCAGATTTTCAGCTAATGAGTCGGATTTCTAATAAAATCAGGAGAATCTGACTAATGAATAAGACCATCAAGGGGTCGGATGGGAATTTATTATGGAGCTTTGTGCTGCAAGATAGCGCCCAAACCTTTATTAAAAAAACAGACACGATTTGAACTTGCTACCCTCTGAATTATTGAAAAAGGCTAAAAAAAATCTATTAAAACGTGAATGCCCTCACAAATCCAAATACTTAAGAAGTGGCGAAAAGGACCATGCTCATTTCTTAGTTGTAGGGAAGGGAAGAAACATACCGTGGTTGTGGGTGAACTGGTCACGATTAGTAAATAGTGCCAAACCGTTGGGAAACACCGCCTTAGTAAACAGAGATGTGATCTTCTGATGCACTCTCTTAGGACTGTAAATAAGTGTGCAAATAAGATTGCACTGTAGCAAAGGAAGTCAACAAACCCAATCTGCAATTTAAAATAGTTCTTTTTAAACATTAAGATAAGATTGGATTAGAGTAAAGGTTCAGTGGCCCCACAAAGCTTTGTTTACAGTTGAAATATGTTAACATTAAATTACATACATCTTCAAAGCCCAGATACGACATGTTTCCTTCATTCAGTGTGGTCAGTGGTCACCAATGTTTTATTGGAGTATATTCAAAAGTATTGCCATGGTCTATCATGAGCCTATTTTCATTCAGGAACATGTGTGCAGGAAGGGGACTTCACTTCATTTAATTTCAAACCTTTATTTATCCAGATTGTCCCTTGAGATCATATATTTATTTTTCAAGGGAGACCTGCAGCAATTAGGTTCCACATGAAACATAAAACAACATAAAACAATAGAGGATATCATACAACATATTTACAAGCTACATTTACATACCAACATTTACAAATACCCATAGTTTCAAAGAGCATTTCACTTAGTGACTTAGATCAGTGCACAAGTGTGTGTATGAATTTGTAAACTGATCGCGCCCCCCATTTGCTTCAATTCATCACATCTTTTCTCCACGTTTTGATTCGTCAATCGATTGAGACATGCATGACATATTTTCTTCAAGAATTCAAGTTAACACAGGATTGCATGTCGAATACACAAATGGCCCTTGTGGATAAGGTATTCCTCTAATGTTGTTTTTAAAAGACAGCATTAGTATTAATGTAGAGCAGCATAAACATGTCTCTCATGAATTTGCATCTGTTTTTATTTGTCTTGCAGTGCACTCTGAACCCCACTGTAACTGCACCACCAGCACTTGCTCCATGTTCTCCAGCAGCCTCTTCTATCTCTATCCCTTCAACGTCGAGTATCACATCTTTGTCTCCGCCATGCTCTTTGTCATGTGGAAGAACATTGGGCGGACCATTGATCTCTCGTCGAACCGTAAGAGGCTAGCTACCAAAACCCAATGCCTGACGGTTGGCCCCATCCTGGGTCTTCTTGCACTGGCCAGCACTATCGGGATCCTGGTGGTCTACATCACCCATGTGGAGGAATCCCTCAAGATGCGCGAGGCAGCCATTTCCATGTTCTACATTTATGGCATTGTCATGCTGGTTTTCATGTGCTCTGCTGGTGCTTCAGGTCTGATAATATATCGAGCTGATCACGTGCCGCTCGACACCTCCAAGAACCCATCCAGACAGCTGGACACGGAGCTGCTGTTCGGGTCCTCCATTGGCTCCTGGCTCATGTCCTGGTGCAGCATAGTGGCCGTGTTAGAGGCCGACAGCAGCCCTCCTTACCGCTGGACCAACCTCATATACTCTCTGCTAATTGTGCTGGAGAAGTACATCCAGAACCTCTTTATCGTGGAGTCCCTGTATCGCAAGCAAGAGGATGGCGAGAGGGAAGACCCCGAGTTACCAGCTTCTCCAGAAATCTTCTCGGTGACGTCGTCTTTGGCCCCGCCGTACAACGGCATCATCAACCGGGCATATGTGACTCCAAACAGAACCTGCAGCACCATGGAGAACGAGCAGGAGGAGAGCGGACAGGTGTACAGATGTCCCAGGAAACCTTCCGAGGTGCCGCTGACCGTTGGAAACAAAGTAAAGGAGCCCACAAACATAAAGAGGCAAATCCTGAAAAACATTGCTGTCTTCCTGATTATGTGCAATATTTCGGTAAGCATTTGCATTCGTCAACCTGCATGTAGATCATTACGTTAACGTTTTTTTATGGTAGTGACACACCCACAGAAAATTATCACTCAACTTTGTTGTCTGCGGAGCATTTGAGCTTCTTTTAGCTCATTATTTGGGTTTTCATTTTCATCCGCTTTTTTAAGCGAAGAGCTTGTATGTTAGTCCTGTAGGCAGACACAGATGTCAATTAGCTTTTGAACATAGTGAAGCATTTAGCAGCGATTGAGCAAGATATTTCCTCTAAGAGTTGGTGGAGACCAAAGAAGAGCCAACCGCGAGTGAAGGCGCCCAGAAACCACAACTTCAAATGAGTGCTAAAGTTGCTTAAGTAAATTGGTAGCCTTTTGCTAACAGCTTAACAAGGTCACTATAATAATGACGCTATTCAAAGTTCCGCCAAGGCAATGCCCTATCTAACAATGCTGACAAGAGTGAAACATAATTGGTGTCTCTGCCCATAATACAGCTTTACTCAAAATGTAATGGGTTCTTACTTGGCCAATGCCTGGTGAGGGTGACAATATGTCAATGTATTGAGTACAGAAGGTGTTGCTGCCCCCAAGTGGCCAAAACAGGTACATTCAGGATTAACTAATTAAAGTTCTGTCTTTCTTTCAGCTGTGGATCCTTCCTGCCTTTGGCTGCCGGCCACAGTACGACAACGGGTTGGAACAGGAGACGTTTGGCTTCAGCATATGGACCACAGTTCTCAATTTCGCTATTCCTTTGAACCTTTTCTATCGCATGCACTCAGTCGCCTCCCTTTTCGAGGTGTTCCGCCGAGTCTGACATAATAGCAGACGGCTGACAACGCCAGATAACATGCACATGAACACTTGTCACCACCGGCTCCCGAGAGTGTCTCCCAGCGCAGGTCAGCCGTTCAGGAGGCGGTCTGGGTCACACTCCAACAGACTTGGCAAAAAAGCTGTGGAGACGAACAAAACGTAGATCCCTCTGTGTGGGGATTAAGGAGGAAGACGAACCTATTAGCCCATGTTCCTTGGAGAATGACCTTGTATAACACAAGGCTTATTACAAATGGTGATGAGAAGGACCTTTGGTTTTGAGAATAGACCTTTGTACTTATTTTTCTGTAGTCACAGTTCAGTAGGCTTCCCATGGTTCATTGTGTAAAATGGATACGCTGTAACCGACACACACATTTTGTATTGTTTCATGTTACTAGTATTTAGTAGCTCACTAAATACAACGGGTAAGAAACCCCTGTCACAAACATCTAATAGTACTGTATGCAAGAGAGCCACATTTGACCCCTACTCTATCTGCATGTGAAGTGTTCATACTGTCTATGGATATGGTTCTCATTTCATTCCCTTAGTGGTTCAAGTCCAATGATGAACTAACACTTGAGCTGCAAAGGGTAGCTGCAATCTGAGCACTATATTTTTGTATTATCTCTATGAGTTGGACTACAGTTCTCGGACTCTCGGTTGTATAAGGTTGATCAATGTCGCTTTGTTATATGATCCTCTTCTGTCAAGGTTGTGTTCAAAATTATGTGTTACTGTCTAGATAAGAGTTTTAGGTCAAATAACAAATCCACTGTTAAAGAAGAGATTCGCTTTATGGCCCGATGATGTTAAATAATAACAAGGGTAATATTGTTCAAATCAGGTGCCCCTATATTGTCAAAAGTGAAAATCTTGTATCAAAAATTGTTTGAGGATTTTTACACAATATAAAAGAATGAAGAGCTTGTATGTTTACACCTCAAAGATAATCAATAAAACCCACCCCAGTCTGTGACACTACTTTTTAAACATATATACACAGATATACTGTATACTTGTACTGTACCATTTTTATATCCAATCAATGTATAGTCAGTTCTCACCATGGTGCTATCTCACTTTGTGCCAACTTATGGTAAAAAACATGTTTTTTTTATTTAGGTGCAAATCCAATGTTATATAATCTTTGTAAATACTGAAGTGCTGATCAAAATCATTCATACACTGTGTTACGAGTTTTATGAAATTCTAATTAAATGGTGCTCATATGGAATAATGTGTGCAATGGTGATGAGTGTATATGTTGAAATAAAGACTAGCTTTCTTTTGTTCATAAAGAGGACGTGTCACGTTTTTTCATGTGGTTTTCTGCATTAAACCGAAGATCTATGATCAATGTTCCTACATTGTTACCTTTTTATTTAAAAAGGTAACTCCTATTGAGATTCACTTTTTCCAGGAGAGCCTTGGACATTTTCACTGACTTTCTTGATGGGCAGGCTTTGTAGTACATATTTACTTCACAAGGTGGCGCCAAGTATATTTATGCTTTTCCAGGAGCTTAATCTACAAAAACTCCATTGGTATTTTCAACTACAGCTTGGATTATTTCACAATCATACATTTAGAGAGAATCAAAAGTATGCAGAGTCATTACATTTAGAGAATCACATTTTCTTTTCAGATATATGAATAAATGGGCATTTATCATGATCTCTTAACTGAACATCGACCAACAATAAACTTTATTCGTATTTTCAATGTTTAACTGCTTTTTACTTCTAACATACAGCCACAATATACTACACAAACCATTCTAGACATTATTCTCTTCGACACTTGACAGACACTTGAGTTATTTCAGCATGATAATTCAACTGGCTCTAGTAACATTTGTATTTATGTTTTAATAAGTGAAGTATAACAAATGTTGTTCCTGGCACAAGTTGCCTCCTGCCTCCAGAGATTATAGGTTACTCCAGAGTATTTGGCATCGGGCGTTGGGGGCATTATTTTTGACGTAGTGTCACAACCGATTTGACAGGCACGCAGGACATGTCTAAAATACCTCATGACGTTTCAAGCCGGAAACGCCACTGCTGCTGCACAGACGGAGCTGGAGCGAGTCCGCAGAGAGTGTGAATGTGACTCACCTGTTCAGGGTCACTCTGAAAAGTGGTTGAGCTATTTGCCCCCATTCTGTGGTTGTCAATTCGCAAATAACCGTAACCCTAAAAAAAAACATAATGCATACTATTTTTAAAAGACCCATTGGATTTTTTCCTTAAATCATACATATTAAAACTACAATATAGCTTAATGCCATGTTGTAAAACCTGTTTCTAAAATACTGAGGGGATTCTGAAGACATTTGCCTTTTGAGCACCATGGACAGCTCTTTGCTTAGTTCCCTTTGCAATCATAGTTCCTCCTCATGGTTTAAATAATTATGCTGATTGGGTGAGTCTAAAACCTTTATTAAGTTAATTAATACTCTCTTTGGTTCTTTATGAATAGTTTGGTCAATTTGTGTGGACACACAGTTTGATCCCTGCACACAAAAACTATGTCTCCATATTGTTTCTACTGTCACTGCAGTGTTATGTGATGGCACATGGAGAGGATAGACGATAACTGAAATATATCTCTACACTGAATTTGAATTTGACTCCTTCAAAAATGTTTAGGGCTTCTCCTCACACCCTTTCCTAGCGCAGTGCTGTGCGTACACCACCCACTAAGGAGGCGTGATTCTGCAACCAATGCGCCCAGCCCTGGTCAGGTTAGTGCGCGTTAGGGACTCCCTGCGCACCCACACCGCGTGCAGGATACCTCGGACTGAGAGATTCGCAGGGGCAGCCAGGTCAGACGACCGGACCCAGGCACGGATTTCAACATGCGCTCCTCTCTGATTTACTGCGTCCCAGCTCCAACGCGCACCTGGCACGTTGCACGGCTCAGTTTTTAAGGCGATCAATTGTCTCTTTCTCTGTGTTTTGCACTCCACATCAGGCTGGCAACCGAGCGTGTCAATGGGAACAATATGAATGGCTGTTAACTGCGCCTGTCCTCGCGCGCGGAGCAATGGACTGCAGTTTTACCTGAAGAGACACATGGAGAACCCAGCAAAAGTATCTCTCAGCGGTGCAGGTGATGGAATCAGCGCAGGCACCCTCGGAGAGAGACTATGTGGGAACACCACCGAAACGGAGGCAACAAAGGACGGCAGGACGGATATGGTGGCGCGCACCGTGACGGGCTGTCTGCTGTCCCTGCTCATCCTGTTGACCCTCCTGGGGAACATCATGGTGTGCTCCGCGGTGCTGCACTTTCGGCCCCTGCGGACCAAAGTCACCAACATTTTTCATCGTCTCCCTGGCTCTATCGGATTTATTCGTGGCCATCCTGGTGATGCCCTGGAAAGCTGTGGCAAGAGGTGGCGGGGGTACTGGCCGTTTTGGCACTTTCTGTAACGTCTGGGTAGCGTTTGACATTATGTGCTCCACCGCCTCCATCCTCAACCTCTGCATCATCAGCAATGGATAGATACTGGGCCATCTCGAGCCCCTTCCACTACGAGAGGACAGATGACCCAGAGAGTTGCCTTTGTTATGATAGCATAACTTGGACGTTGTCCTGTGCTCATCTCATTCATACCGGTCCAGCTGAACTGGCATAAAGCCAAACGATGACGAAAACAGCGGGGACGCACAACTCCTCCACGAGCCGGCTGTTGGAGGAGAACTGCGACTCCAGCTGAGCAGAGAGTATGCCATCTCCTCCTCTTTGATAAGTTTTCTATATTCCCGGTCGCGATTATGATTGTGACTTACACCCCCGAAATATACCGGATCGCACAAATACAAATTAGAAGAATAGCCTCCCTAGAGAGAGCAGCAGAGCACGCGCAAAGTTGCAAGGACAAACAGAATAGAGTGCCAACGCCATAACACCTTGAAAACGTCAATTAAACGCGAGACCAAAGTTTTCAAAACTCTGTCGGTGATTATGGGTGTGTTTGTGTTTTGCTGGTTACCTTTCTTCATCCTAACTGTATGTCCCGTTCTGCGACAGGCCGGCCACAGATCAGGACGCGGGCCTGCCGTGCGTAAGCGAAACCACTTTCGACGTGTTCGTGTGGTTCGGCTGGACCAACTCCTCCCTGAACCCCCATCATCTACGCCTTCAACGCAGAGTTCAGGAAGGCTTTTCGCGAGCCTCCTGGGCTGTCGCAACTTCTGCTCTAGTACGCCAGTGGAAACTGTGAACATCAGTAACGAGCTGGTCTCCTATAATCAAGACACCCTCACCCACCAAGGAGATCGTGAACGCATACGTGAACATGATGCCAACGTGGTTGAATGTATCGAGCACGAAGAGACTTTTGACAGGATTTCTCAGTTTTCTCACAACAATGAAAATCGCCACCGACCTCTGTTTGTGACTTGGAAGACTGCGAGGCAGATATCAGTCTTGACAGGATGTCACCGTTCACACCCATGGAATACACTGACTCCAACTTTGTTCTCCCAGTGCATTTGGATGTATTACTTATAATAATCTCATCGTTCATCACCTCTTTTGTCCCGGAAGCTGCTCTCCATATGGAGCCCACATGGTCAGGATCTGCCAAGCTCTGAGCAGCTGCTGAGGGACAAAGTGACTCATGCACACTTCAGCAGGGTGCATGCCTCTCTAGCCACCAGTCCCCCCTGCCGCCGCTTTATGTCAATAATGAGATGTGATGTTGTTGTCCAGTACTGAAATAAGTGATATCGGTGTTTATTTACATGACAAGTGAAGTCTTTGTTTAATCTGTTAAAAAGTTAAATGTAAGCTGTTGTTTACCGGAAAGGCTTCTGTGTCTCATCCACTTGCAGGGGGGAACATTTTTTTGTAAAAACTCACATGAGGAATTATAATGGAAACCTTTTTGCTGCTTAAAAACCTCCGTGTATCCAGTGCCCGCCTTTCCACTGAGTATGAAAACTGAGGGAAGCCTTACTGACAGTGCAACCAAGATATCTCTACTCAAATGCAGTAATTTGCAGCGCCTTATCTTATTTAAGGAAGAGTTTTGAGAGGAGAAAGGAATGTGTCTAAAGTTACATGATGCCAAAATGCAGTATCAAAGTGTTTACCCATGCACTCAGTGTTTCTCAAACTTTTTCATACCAAGGACCACTTAACCAATATAAAAACACTCGCGGACCACCTAACTCCACAAATATCCAAAAACACATAGTTTTTTACAATTCGCCTGAAAATGGTACAAACAACTGGGCTATATCATGCAATCGAAAAGTGAAACTTAAGCTAAATTAATTAATTTCAAATGTGAAATGTTACCAATATACTCACGGACCACTAGGGGGCGCTCACGGACAACCAGTGGTCCGCGGACCACACTTTGAGAAGCACTACGACTACACCCACCCTGATGGCTCCTCCAGCACACCCTCTCTGCCCCCTTTATGCAGTTTGATCACAGATGGCCGGAGGAAAACACGATTTAAAGGCACCAGAACTAATGCTATAAACTTGAGTTACACTGAAATCCAAATCAAATAATTCTGACCAGAACCAGCAGTTATTAAAGCGGTCAACATTGTTAACTCTTTTCTGTGACCTTCATTTCTCCTTGAGGCCAAAACTACTGAATGGTTCTGCTTTATCAACCAGTCAGCTCTTACTGACCTTACAAAATAAAAGAAAGGATCAAGCCTGTCCTGAACGACCAAAGATTTCAAGGAGGGAATCAAGAACTCCGACACAATAAGGCTACAGCGTTTGTCAGCTGCAGGAATAATTGCTATAGAAAGCCTGTACAGACACACACACACACACACACACACACACACACCACCACACACACACAACCACACACACCACACACACACACACACACACACACACACACACACACACACACACACACCACACACACACACACACAACACACACACACACACACACACACACACACACACCACACACACACACACCACACACCACACACACACAACACACACACACACACACACACACACACACACACACACACACACCACACACCACACAAGGGCCACTGGGCCAACACAACTGGATGTCATACATCACCCCTCCAACACCTCTATCTTTGTACTGTACAGGTGACCTGATCTGAATGTATACTGTACTTTAAACAGTGAAGTGTGTCATCATTTGTCTAATAAAATGCTGTCATGCTGAGTGGAAAAGAGTGCTCTGGTATCTTCTTGAAGGTCACATTACAGTTTATAGGGTTTCACGAGTGGACAAACTTTGCTGGGTTGCAGTTTTTTTTTTTTACTTTAGTTCAACCTTCATTTCAAGTGTACTCAGCAGCTCTTATGCATATTCGACCCCTATTCTTTTTTCAAAGTCATTTTTTAGCTCTTCGGACAGTTTCACAGCAGAGAAAGGAGTAGTACTTTTGGCAGGGAAACAAAGAGTGAGTCAGAGGTCACCAGAAGACTAAAACGGCATTATGTTAATGTAGTGTGTATGTTAGAGTCTGCAGCTCCTCCAGGACTCTTCCTTCGACCGTCATGTCCTCCAGATTGAAACACCTGAAATATTTCTTCCGACAGGGCTAGAGAGAATCAAATAAAAATAATAGGCAGTTGTGTATATATAAAGTAATAAAAAGTAATAAGAACACACCTTGAAGAACAGATCTGCCTTTCATGGTGGTGTCTTCTTCTTGGCAAGTGTTCACACATTTAACACACTGCTTTGTTTTCTTTGAACCAATATCAATACTTTCATACAGAAACTCTACCAAAGCGGGAGTAAATGCGTCAGTTGAATTGCCAACAGCATCTGTCAATTCAATCTTTCTGCAAGCAGAGAAAAAACACCCGCTGTTTAAACATCCCGTCAGTGTGTCCATCTTATAAAGGTCTAGGCACACAAGACTTAACAGACACATTCGGCTTTTTGTATGTAAACAATTACAATAATAACTCAATAAATGCATTTATCTCACCCTTTGAGACTCTTACCTGCCTTTTGCCAGAAATTGACCTTGAATCTGGATGCTTGGTACTTACTTTTCAGTGGGCTTTATTTGAAGTACTCGGCACACTGATGGACGGATTTACAATTCACGTCTTCTCCGAGGTCTGGAATATGCATATTGCATCTGTAGAGAATAAAGAAAGTCTGAGCCAATTACCTCGTCCCTGTTGTCGGCCCACCAAGGAAGTCATTTGCTGCTAAAGTGTGTTCATGTACAGCAAGCCAAGTGAAATAAATAAACATCAACAATAACAACTTAATTTGAATTTCTAAAACTTTATGTGAGCTTTCTCTGAACCCAAGTTTTCATTTTGACTCTTGCATTGGGGGCATAGGGACAAACAGAGGCAGAAAAATAGAGAGCGCTTTATCATTAAGGGGGATTTTTGATGCCCTTTGTGACTCCAGAGGGAACTTTGTGAACTCGGACACATTACTTCATTTGGAAACAACAAATCTGAAAATAAAAATATTATTGGGGTTGTGAGTTAACCAAATCTCTGCATTCTTTTTTAAACCAATAAATGAACCGTGTTGTAAGTAAATCTCTCCCTCCTTGTCACTTTGTGACATTGTATTCTGTGAGGAAATGTAATTTACATCAATGCATTTAAATGCAATGTAAAATACTTAAGAGAACATAGCAACTTCTCCTTTTGCAATACAGTGGAGAGAAGTACTGTTTAATGTAGCATAACATTGAGATACTTAAGTAAATTACCCTACATGTAGCCTTTATGTTTATACTGTATGATTAGTATCATTGAAGCATTATATATATATATATATATATATATATATATATACATATATATATATATATATATATTAGGGCCGGGACTTTAACGCGTTAATTAAGATTAATTAATTACACAAAAATTAACGCGTTAAAAAAATTAACGCATTTTAATCGCACCGCGGAACGTTTCTCACTGGATGAGTTTCAGGCGTACCGATTATACTGGAGCACCAACTAACGTTCATGACTTCAGACAACAACAAACCACAGTGAACAACAGTGGGAAATGTTGTTTTAAAAAACGGACGGATGGAAGCGTCGATAAGAGCACGGTTGTGTGCAAATTATGCAAAAAGGAATTCGCATATCACCGCAGCACATCAAGCCTCAAGTATCACCTCAATGCAAAACATATAGCAGCTAGCGTGGAAGCTAGCGTGGACGTTAGCCTCTTTTATCGCGTTCACACCAAAAAGAGCAGGTACTAAAATTAGTTCATGAGAACCTTTTTACCCCCACGAAAGTCCCTGCTAGAGAGCAGAGAGCTGCTAGAGAGCAGGGACTTTCGTACGGCTCTCTTGTGAGAAAAGAGCTATATTTCTGATTGGCTGGGCGGATTGCAAACCACGCCCCGTAAAACTCCCACAAAGTTTTGTGAATTTTATTATCCTCGCATTAGCATTATTAGCATTAGCCCAGCGCAGAAACGCAGAGAGACTAATTTATGGCAACACAAAATAAAACATGGGAGCGGTGGAGATGAGGAGGTGTCGGCGTTCTGGCGATTTACTCGGAAGGCTGCTGGGACTCCCAGCAGCTTCTACTGAAGCCAGTCCCCAACTCCGGGGACTTCCGGCCGGGGACTTTGGGCGGCAGTATACGCCGTGAAGTGGTTTGCGGCCTGCCAGTAAACCCAAAGCAGAAGAAGAAGAAGTGACGTCAGCGGCTTCATTTGCTGTTACGGCCCGTCTACACTACAGGCGTCGAAAAAGCTCGAAGCTGGGCGTGGCTGAGGCTTGGCGATTTTTTGCGAGCAACGCGACCAACAACCAATCACATGAATCTCCCGCCCCGACATACAAAGCAATAGCAATGTTAAAACGAAGTAAACTGGATATAAAATCCCCAAACAGGCGAAAACCTACCAGTTTCACCCACTGTCTCTGCCACCTCCCTCCATGCCTCGCTCCTCTGGTTTGTATCCCGGTAGATGAACAGAGACTGATCATACAGCACCGGGTGATTCACTACCGCTATAATGAATTTTCCCTCCATTTTTTTGAATATGAGGAAATGACCTGCGTAGTCTCTCCCAGCATACACGCGGTTTGATTGGCTAGCGCTTGTACTGGCAGATTTGCATACACGGGATTTCATTGGCTGACGCCAGCTTCGAGCAAGCATCGAGCCTCAAAAGTTGAACATTGTTCAACTTTTGACGCCGATAGACGCTCGCGATGCTTGCAACGCCTTGCCATGCTACCCACAATGCAGTTCGGCGAAGTTTGAAAATATCCTACGTCACCCCATTCAAATGAATGGGCGAAGCGTTGAAAGCATGTTTTGACGCCTGTAGTGTAGACGGGCCGTAATCCTCCCCCATGTT